AATAGGCTTCTTTGAGAATAGCTTGTTTGAGCTACGTAGCTCCACCTCAAATCTGTTATCTCCTGTTAATAACAAAATAAAAAAAACTCAAGGGTTAACAGAAGTACTATCTAATAAAACATGTTACAAGCATAGACTTTTTCAAACAGCATACAGTCAAACCTCTCCACAACAGCCACCTTGGGAACAGAGGAATGTGGCCGATGTAGAGAGGCGACCAATATGGAGAGGAAGGGGTGTAACATGACACCTGTTTTTTGGGGGGGGGTGCAACATTTCATTTCTTAAAAGAGACTTAGTTTAGCATATCAACTATACGTAGCACAATCAAAAGATATCAATCAAACAAAAACTAAACAGAAACAGAGACCAGCAAAGCATGGTACAGATCAAGTTTGGTGACCTTTTACAATAAACTGGGTTTTGTATACACTGTTTGTCAGTCGCTGGTTAACTGGCCGTTGTTGAGTGGTTATTTTGGCAATCGGGGCGCATTTTAGTGACCTTTACCATTGTGAAAAGGTGGCTGTTATAGAGAGGTTAAAATAAGAAATGGCTATATTGATTGTCTGCAGGGACCAAAAAGAATCGCCGTTGTAGAGGCCACCGGTATGTTGTAACTGCAATTGGTGGCCATTAGTGGAGATTCAACTGTATAGATGGTTTTCACTGTGATGCAACAAAAAATAATTGAAAACTATTCAGTGGATAAAGTCAAGAAATTTTGATATTATAGGAGACAGGTAAAGAGGACACTTCTCCAAGTTTTGGGTCTCTGCATTTTCCCAAACTTCAGATATCCATCGAAATGTTTTGTGCAAATTTGCAGAGCCCAGTATGGAACCGCCATGTTGGTGGAACTCTGTGCTCCACCAACATGGTGGGCGGAAAATAGTGCAAACATCTGGAACTTACTTTGGCTATCTAGGCAACTGATTATCTGAACTGAACCGACAAACATTTACACAAGCACTTTTCCTAACACTTTAACTCCTATAAGGCTAAAAATCATTAGATAAGTGTATACTTTTCCACAAACGCAATCAGAGCGGTATGTCACACACCGCCATAACTCTGAACTTCAAATGGCGCTGGTTTCCAAACAAAGCACGCTGTTGGGCTGAAAAGTTGTAAACAGATGTAGGTTTAGATCCCCTTATGCCTTATGAGGATAAAAATTTTCGTGGCTCTTTAGTTTTGGATTTTGGAATTTTATGACGTCACGTGAAAACGGTCTATTACATGCACCTTAAATTCAAGTCATGTGATATTTTTGCTTTTGCTAACACACCAGAATTCTATATCACCTGTGCCATCCTTAACACTGTACAGCAGCAAGTGCCCTTGCCTTGTTCCAACAAGGAGATTGTCACCTGGAAAATAACATTCTGACGGTGTAAGAAACCATTGCATTCTGTAATAGTACCTTTAGAATGGAGATCAATCATAATAATTTCTTGATAAATATACACATTTACAGAAATCTTCTAGTCTCACCGTGAGGCACTTGCAACCCTGCGGAGGTACTCTACTAAGTTTTGTATGGGAAGGCTCCGCCCTGAGATCAAACCCCTTACCCTTTTGGATATCAGTTTGACAGGAAAGGTACCCTTTTAGTATACCTTTCATTGAAAAAGGGTTCTCCTTTCATGTACCTACTAAAGAACACTGCATCCCTTTCCTAAACTCTTGGAATGAAGTTAATGAGTTCACAATGTTATGGGAGAACATCACTGATTACCAGAAGAGATGTTAGTCAAAAAACAAGTATCATTTATTTGGTTGCCAGTCACATCATACCTAAATGACCGATTTCCCTTCCCTTTCATATACCTTGTGAAAACCCTAACCTTTTATATACCTGAAGTCTGAAAAAGGTACTCCTTTCAGAACGAGCCTCCTCGTATAGGCCATTATAGAGAGTACCCCCACCCCCACCCCCTCCCGGGCTTGCAACAATTTTTCTAAAAAAAGAATTGAAATGCCTGACAAATGCCCGGGGGGAGGGGGGAAGGATGGAGGGACTTGGTACAGTGTACCTTAGCTTACTGAAATAAAGTTACTTAATGTGTATCACGCTGTACATAATAATGGCTCAGTTTTTAAAAAACCATTATACATTATAAGAAAGTCTCAATGTTTTAAAACTTTAAAAATATAAAAAGAACTAAGCTTACATTTAAGCTTAAAATCTAAGCTTATTTCGTAAATGCTTTCCTAAAAAAACCTCTTACCAAATGTAGCGATGCACTCTATTTGTAAAGGCAACTTCTCAAGGATAACTGCATGTTCAAATGCATCGTGCATGTTTGCATAATACTTTGATTACAGCAGCTAAATTGTAGCTAAACATGGTTGCATATGTGCTAGGAAGCCATGACTTGCTTTCTCGGAAGAGAACCAACTTTGTGAGCCTGCAGTCATTTGAGGAAGTGAACAATCATCTATCGACACGACGATACGAATTTTCCGGGAAAAATGAGTCAAAAATGAAACCCCGGAGAGTAGTAGATACAATAATGGAGTTGAAATTTCCAGTCGTTGTACAAATATGATAAACTGTTGTCTTCTTCTTGAATATTCTAGCGCTTGTTACTGTGTTGTCTGAGCGCCCAAGGAGCACTTCTTCTTTGTGAAAATCACATGATTGATGACGTTGGATGACATCACTTCCGGTTTACGAAGCTTTCCATTTCCCTCTTCTTCACAATTTCCATAAATACCGTACTCTGAGATAAGTAGGGTAACGTCTGTGGTGGAATCGTCCTGAATCCTTTACATCGTAGATTATATCGACCTGATTTTCACCCAGTTGGTGTCACGAAGCTCGCATGTCAATCCAGAACTTAGAAACTTATGGTAATTTCACTTTCTATGACATGTTGTTCAACATAATGTTGTTAGTATTTATCCGCTGTTTTCTGCAATATTTTCGCTCTTTCACGTTTTGTAGATCCTTTCACGGATGCTGCCAAGGGTGTCGACGAATCATCAAAGCAAGACCAGCCAATACATATTCGCATTCAGCAACGAAGTGGTCGTAAAACTCTGACAACTGTGCAAGGAATAAGCGACCACTATGACAAGAAGAAACTAGTGAAAGCGTTCAAAAAGGTTCGTATTTTGAAATAATTGTAAGCTAAGACTCGGCATGTTCCCGAGTTTTCAGCCGATCATGCACTGTGGCTATTGAGATTTTTTCGTAGGATTTTAGTTTCGTGGATTAGAAAATAATAATAATAATAGTTCTCCAGGGAAGTTTTGTAGTCAATCTGAGCTATTTCTTTCTTTGTGCCCCATTACTGAAAATACCTCATTTCATCTCGTCAAATTTTACACACCTAGAGGATCTGAACTTTAAGAGTGTAATTTTTCGAGACACCAGTGTTAAACATTAGGCGAGTTGTACTGTTTCAGTACATGTATTTGTAGCTTGTTGCAAATTTCATTTAAGGTTCATTCTCGCTCAAGTTTGTAAACGAATGATGCAATACTCATGCCATTGTTTCAAATGGCTTATGTAAATAAACACTTGTGGGTGCTTGGATCATGTACTATTTATATGCCGGAAGTAAATGCGTTTCTTTTGAATGAGTTCACATTAGGTATTCAAAACAGACTGAAAAATTAGCACCAGCTTTCGACGAGGCCTTTATCATATATTAGTAACAATCTACTAGTGTTCTGTCATGAATGCTGTTCTCTGATTGGCTACATGACTCACTAGCTATTCTGTTTTAGTATGAATCTACTAGCGTTCTATCACAATTGCCGTTCTCTGATTGGCTACGCTACTCACTATCTATTCTGTGATAGATAGTGAGTAGCACAGCAGTGTGCACTTGTTAACAAAATGATGGCTGCTTCTTGGCGTTTTCAAAGTGTCTTTGAGAAGATTTAGATAAAGTTCTGAACGACTAGTAAATTATACTAAAACAAATAGATTATTCGCTCTCGATTTCTATGTGTTATCACGCAATAGAAATCTTGAGCTCATAATCTTATATACCAATTTCGATTGACTAAAATTCAGCCTAAAACATTAGACCTCAATATGAGGCTCTGGGGAATAACTACAGAGTTTGTGGGGTTTATTCCCTAGAGCCTCGTGCTGAGGGCTATTGTGTTAAGCTGAATTTTAATATACCGAATTTGGACTATTGTTTAGTGGACAGTCAGTAGCCCAGCAATGTGCCCTTGTTAACAAACTGACAGCTGCTTCTTTACGTTTCTCAAGGTGTCTGTGAGGAGGATTTTGATAAAGTTTTAAATGACTAGCAGATTTATACTAAAATAGATTATTTGCTCTTGATTTCTATGTGTGATAGTTGGCTCAGATTGTGTCCTCATCAATTATCACATGATAGAAATCTCAAGCTGTAGTAAAATTGTTGAATAGACTGATTGGACAAGTGTATTGTGTAGTTGGCTTTCTCACCTGAGCCTAATATTACACATATTGATATTGTTCCTAATAGCAATATTATAACAAGTGCCCCTCTCCAATAACTGCCCCTCCTCGAGGTACCAAAAGTAAATTAGCACCCTCATTGCTTAATATTGAACATATCTGTTATTAAAAGTATCTCCTTAATTCTGATTATGTTCTTTATCCATTCTTCCTGTTCAGGAATTCAAGTGTAATGGCACCGTCATTGAAAATCCAGAGTATGGAGAGGTGATACAGCTAACAGGGGATCAGCGTCAAAATGTCGGTGCATTTCTGAAAGCAATTGAACTGGCTAAAGCAGAGCAGTTAAATATCCACGGTTTTTAAGATGCCTGCAAGGCATCTTGGACTGAGTATTCCGTGTATATAGATTTGTACTTAGTCACTGTAGCACAAAAAAGTCCTTTAGACAGTGGTTGATTCATCCATAAATACATGTAGGAACTGTTTTAGCAGTGAAATATTCTGTTGTAACTTTGAAAAAACTGCAGCTTTCAGTGATGTATTTGAGTCACTGTTTGCTTGGTGGTAAGTTAAGTTCTTCAGATGTTGAAAATTAAGGCAGATATTCTTTTTACATGTAACTACATGCATGAACTATTTAAGATTCATTGTTTAGTGCAAGCGAACAGGTTGAAAACAATAGTAATATTACTACACAGGTCTGTACAATAGAAGCTACATCAAAGATATTACAGCTTGAAAACTGTAGCTCTGCAATTTTAAATTTTGTTGTGAACCTCAATCAAAACCCTCTTCATTTCTTTTTATTTTTATTTCTAGTGTTTTTGTACCTAAGTAACTGTAATGATAAATTATTTACTTTGACAAAGAATAGCTACTTTATGGCGATGCACTTGCTTTCAGTAAACATATTATAAAAGTATTGTCATTTAATAGAAACCTTGGCTAAACAAATGGTAAAGAAGTACATCTAACCAAACTGTTTATTACTGATCTTTATTATATGCCTAGCTCTGTGAGCACACAAGGTGAACCTTAGTGGGCAAGATGGGGCTATCTTACC